ATATATATATATATATATATATATATATATATATATATATATATATATATATATATATATCTATATATCTATATATCTATATCTATATATCTATATATCTATATATCTATATATCTATATATCTATATATCTATATATCTATTTATATATATATCTATATATCTATCTATATATCTATCTATATATCTATATATCTATATATATATATATATATATATATCTATATATATATATATATCTATATATATATCTATATATCTATATCTATATCTATATATCTATATATATATCTATATATCTATATATATCTATATATATATATATATATCTATATCTATATCGTGAGACGAATAAGCAACTATTTTGATTGTAAACTTTTCTCAAGCAATGTAAAACATTGTCCCAATATCATGAACATTTACATTTGAATAAATTTCATGAAACGTAACCAGGAATATTGATTCAAATCCGACAATTCGGACTTTACAGGATATCCTGCTGTCCTTGCAATTAATTAATTAGATCACAAATGACTTACTATAGTATGATCACAAATGACTAACTATAATAATAAGAAATGTATAGGTTTGAAAGTTGACGAAATGATATGCTAATTAAGATCACCAGGGGTGGAAAATATAGCGGGACCAATGGTTCCAGAAAATATTTTTTGCTGGCAGAAAGAAAAAAAGGGAAGGAAGAAAAAGGGGGAAAGGAAGAAAAGCAAAGAAAGAAAAAAAGGAAGGGCAGAAAAAGAATAGAAAGAAAGAAAGAAAGAGACTAACTGCACCAATAAGTAGCCATTTTGTTCAGGGACAGACACTAGGTGTAGGGGGTGCCCCCAAAAAAATTTCTGAAAACTTTGATAGCGTAATGTAGCCGCATTTGCAGGCAACCTTGTTCTACCCCCTTTGGCCCTTTGTTGGCTTTGTATCATACCACTGTCTTACCTTATTAGCATGACTTTACATACAAGTATTTAGTATTGCTTATTAGTTGGTATAAATATCTGCAAATGCAAAATGTTTTGTGGTAGTATGACATACTGTCCATATCGAGTAATACAAGAAATACAAATGAAGTTACTGATATAAAGGAAGACTTACTTTACAGATGAGTACCCTATTTACGGCGTATAATTGAAGAAGTTTGGGTTAGTTAAACAGCCTATTGACTGTCAGAATTCATGGTTTCAAGGCATTTAGATCTTCAAGGCATTTAGATCGACGAACTTTTTCGTCGCTTGGCGTAAGAATAACAGAGTCTGCGAGCAGGCTATTTAGATCTCTTCTCAAACCAGAAAGAGATAAATTTCGATAATTTTATCACAGTTTCGTCAGTTGATTTCATTATCTTAACTGGTAAACTGTGTTCATTAGATCTGCTTATGATCTGCTTCATTGGTGGGATCACATTCCAAGTAATTTAAAAAGTATTTCCAAAGACTACTGTAGGCTTCACAGGAAGTGATGTTCCATTTCAATTTCTCCCGAGTCCTGACTGGCAGACCTTGCATACTCTGTCTTCTTGTCTGATAAACAAAATATGGAATTTATTTTTCCCCAAAGTGTCTGCCATTGTTTATATTATATAAAACACAACTAAAGGCAATCATAGTTAATAGAAAATAAACATCGTTAGGAAGATTGATAAACTTCAAGTAGTTTCCTAACCAAACTTCAATTGATGTTGAAAACTTGAAATGTACCTGAAAGTACACAATTTGTTGATCAATACTAAAATCTTACGGTTGAAGTCTGAGGTTTCCATTGGGCAATTGCTTCATTATCTAGAACA